CAACGGCACTCGGATCCTCCATGACCACTGTTCGTTTGATAATGGCGCTGATGGCATAGTTACGATAACACCGAACGAGAACGCCTCGATCATGGTCAACGGCAAACGAATTTCCGAAACGACTCGTTTGCACTCTGGTTTTCGAGTCATCCTCGGCGACTTCCACATATTCCGATTCAACCATCCCATGGAAGCGAAGGCGGAACGTGATGAAAATCGGCAGAGTCTTTTGCGCCAGTCCATCACGGCGAGCCAACTGTCGTCTCTCGACCTTTCGGTATCGTCTCCACGCCTAGGCCACGACAGATCATTCAGTAAAGCTGGATCGGAAATCAGTGGGAGCCGACCAGACTCTCCTGCGCCATTCCGCATCGACTCAGACTGGTCGTTTGCACGACGTGAAGCTGCTGGTGCTATCCTCGGCACGGACAAGAACCTCCAAAGCTTGACAGATGAGGAGTTAAATGCTTTATTCGAAGATGTGCAGCGTGCGAGAGCCGAACGTGTCAACGATCGCGAAGGTGATGAAGACTTGGAATCTAATACTTCATATCCTTTCCGCGAGAAATACATGTCGACAGGCACCATTGATAACCTTTCTCTTGACACCGCACTTACTATGCCATCTACCCCGAAAGCAGGAGAGGCCGATGACCGGCTCAAGGAAATCCGGGAGACCATGCAGTCGCAGCTAGAGAAGCAGAAAGAAGAGTACCAAGGCCAGCTTAAGAGCGCCGGGGCGGCTAATGTCGAGGTGGAAGAAATCAAGAGAGAGAAGGCGAGAATGGAGGAGACTCTAGTTCAGCTGAAGGCTGATATGCAGAAGCAACTCGAAGTCCAGAAGAAGGAGTTTGAAGCCAAGATCAACAAGCTGGATCCACTCAAGCGGCCGAAAGCGAAACCAAAGCTTTCCCATGAAGAGATACAGCAAGCCAAGAAGGTGGTCCAGCATTGGAAGGGCCGCCACTATGTTCAGATGGCCGAGGCAGTACTTCACCATGCAGCGACGCTGAAGGAGGCACAGATTATGAGCGAGGAGCTAGGAGAGAATGTCGTATTCCAGTTCACTGTAATCGACCAAGGCCATGCACTTTGTTCATCTTATGACATGGTACTCAACGATGTACCAAGTGAGGGTGACGATGTTGCGCTTGACCATGCCCCAAAGCCATGCGTAGGCGTTCGGGTAGTTGACTACAAACATACCGTTATCCATCTATGGAGCCTGGATAAGCTTCACGATCGCGTCCGACAAATGCGCCAGATGCATCAATATCTCGACCAGCCAGAGTATTGCCAGCACTTCAAATTAGATAACCCATTTGTGGAGACTTGCATGCCTGAATATTCTCTCGTCGGCGAGGTGGACGTTCCCCTGAAAGCCGTCTTCGATAGTCGCGTGCAGGATTTTACCCTAGACGTGTTGTCACCGCATACTTCACACGCCATCGGCATCATCAAAGTCTCCCTGGAACCTTCCAGTGCTCGGGCGCCTACGAGCACGTTGAAATATAACGTGGTTATGCATGATATGGTCGGGTTCGCTGAGCGGGAGGGAACCGATGTGCATGCTCAACTCTTTATCCCGGGTATATCGGAAGACGGCGTGACCACGACCCAGATGATCAAGGATTTCGATGAAGGCCCCATTCGGTTCGATAGCGTTCATAGTATGAGCGTGCCCTTATTTGGTCCGCAAGATGTCAACCTCAGGATCGCAATCTTCGCCAAGGTCTCAACTATGCACCTCGACAAGTTACTGAGCTGGGATGAGATGCGCGACTCTACCCCTAGATTCGAAACTAGACCCCAGGGTGCTCGGATCAACGAAACACAGTTCTTTACCTCCGAGAAGCACGATTTGCTCGCCCGGATCCAGATCCTCGAACTGAACGAGCACGGGGAGTATGTACCCGTAGAAGTAACGCAAACTAGCGAGCTTGACACCGGTGCTTTTCAGCTACACCAAGGTCTCCAGCGGCGCATAGCACTTAACCTCACCCATAGTTCGGGTGACGCGCTGCCGTGGGAAGACGTCAGCTCTTTCCGGGTTGGCAAAATCCAATTGGTCGATCACGCTGGGAAGGTTCCGGATATGGCATCACCGACACCTGATATATCCCTGAGGCTAGGGGCCAAGCCGGTATTTCGTCAAAATGCAAACGGTACACGGAGCGTGACGGTCACGGGCCAGTGGGATTCCAGCTTGCACAATTCGTTGCTGCTTGATCGAACAACCGCTGACAAATACAAGGTCCAAATGACACTTTCCTGGGAAGTTACCTCTGATAATCTAGCGGAACCGATGAGGTTTAGCACCAATATCTATTGTCAGATCCTGGGCAGAACATATGTTCGGCAAACTTCCATGCTCTCGTCTTTGTGGCAACATATCAGAATTGTCCATTCCTCGACGGCTATATTTACTCTAGGCATGAAACCAGCGCCCATTAAACATGTCGGTGACCTCTGGCGAATGAACAGCCAGCATGACTATGTGAAAGGAGAGGAAAATCTGACCAATTGGAGCCCGAGGGGTGTTTCGTTGATAGGGGATTTCATCGCGGCCAAGAAAAAGAGGCGTCGCATCGCAGAAATCGGAGCTGCACAGCTGTTCCTGAAAAAGATCGGCTTGCCTGAGCCTAAGAACATGCCTGCTGATGATGGAGAGCCCTCTGAAGACGACCTAGCCAAAACTAGTGACGGCGATGATGACTCGATCAACGCCTTGCTCAATGACACTCCCGAAACTTCGAGACCCTCAACGCCCAAACCCGAAGAACCGACAGAGGAACAAGACGCAACGACCACGTCAGCGGAAGAGGAACATATTTCAGCGACTGCCGAATCGGTAGAGACTGCGGAGCCCAAATCCGAGCCTAGATCTGAGACTGCGTCTGGGCCGGGATCTGAGTCTGGGTCTAAGGCTGAGTCTGAGCCTCAGCCTGCTGAGAAGCTTCAAGTGTCTGAGTTCGATGAGCAAGAGACAGCAATCCTGAATAAGTGCATCGACCTCTGGCAAAGACACCCCGACCCAGTTTTCCGCATTCTTAGCCCCGCAAATACTACACCCCCATCAAATGGCATTGCTCCAGAGTCAGCTGAACCCCCGAGGTTGATCGCTACTGTCATACGGGTCCCAAAGAATCCGACGGTAGTCAAGGGAGGCTATCTCCTAGTGCCAAATAATGACTCAACCAAGTGGGTGAAGAGATTTGTAGAGCTCCGGCGGCCATACCTACACATTCACAACGTCACGGATGGAGACGAGATAGCCATAGTCAGTCTTCGGAACTCGAGGGTTGACAGCCAGCCCGAGATTCTTGCGCTCTTCAGTGGGCACGACGAAGGGCCAGACGGCGAGTTCGGCACTAATGGGAACGGAAACTTTGCACCAGGACACCACCGAACCTCTTCTGGTCGGATCGTCTCCTCCATCCGGACGGGCAACGCGAGCTCTCCCGGACCCGGGCTCGGTGGTCTAAATGAACGCCTGCAATCAGGGGTGTTTGCCATCTACGGGACGGACAACACCTGGCTGTTTGCAGCACGTAACGAGCGGGAGAAGCTCGACTGGATATTCCGCATCGACCAGAGCTATTTTTCGGGTGGTGGCGGTAGTGGGAGCGGGAGCGGCACGGCTAGCCCGCTACCTAGGGGGTACACATATGGTAGCTGAAAGCCTCTCTCTCTACTTCTCTAACATTACGTACCCGGTATCTCATGATAATGCCCCCCGCACACCACCCCCTTGATTATGTTATGAGTTGGATTTATTTATGCCCCCTTTTTTTTCAGAATTTTGTTTTTGCTACGAGGCCACGACATGAACACATACACACACACAGAAAAAGAGAGAAGCTAAGAGAGCAAGGGGAAAGTCTTCTTATAATGGCGAGCATGTATCCGGCCTGGTTGGAGGCTTCTTTTCTTATCATCAATAATCATATCAAAGGCGTACTTTTTTTATTCCCTTTCTTTCAGTATATTTTCTATACACACCTCACACACATCCTTCCTTGTTTTATGGCGGTTTTTCTTGCTCGAGGGTTGTTTTTTATATGATCGAAGGGTGGAAGGGGGGAACTATCAGGCTCATGAACAAACAAAACAAGAAAAAAACTTTTTCCACACCAGGCCCGAACGAATCAACCAAAACCCCCCAACTTTTGTCTATATCGAGAAAACAAAATTAGGTTTAAACCTAGAATTTATCTAGTTGTTCTACTTACTATATTTATCGAACTTTTTTCTTTTCTTTTTGTTTCATTTTATGGGTCTTTTTGTCGGTTTGTCGTCAAAAATCTAGATTATACCCCGAGGGAGATGGCCAACTTATTGTGGGAGAGGGAGGAGCAGGAGGAGGAGGAGGAAAGTTCTAAAAGGGAAGGGGGGGAAGGATCAATCATATATGGTACCTTTTTTTGGTTGGTAGGTAGGTGGGTAGGGTACCTAGGTAGGTTAAATAGGTAGGTAGGTAGGTAGTCAATCAAGCTATTGGGGGAACCGGGAATCCTGGGGTCTGGGGAGAAGAGAGTTTCTTCCTCTTCTTTTTTTTCTTTTCTTTTCTTGCGGGTCCTTTCGTGAATTGTGATGTAGAGGTAGAGGAGTTTTAGAGAATGGAGATGATGGATGGATAGATGGGTTTCAATAGACAAGAAATAAAATAAATTAGGCTGTCTTAAAGGTGATTGGTTGATTGATTGATCGAGACTATATTTTGTATATGCCAACCTGGACTTCAGGTTGCCAGCCTTGAGATTTTGATTCTAGTATTCTTTTCTCAGCAATACCCCTGAGTGGGGGTGATTGGCTTGGTGGTTTTATCGGTGCCAGGTGCCCGTCTGCCATCGTCATACATTTAGTACCTACATAGTAGTAGGCAAAGCTTACAAAGCTAAGTGATTCTAGCCCATGCACTTTAATAATAATAATAAAAATAATAAAAATGCACGAATAAAAAAGAAAGGGAAAGGGAAAAAAAACAGGTGTGTATTTCCCGCCCGAGGGGGGTCTCGAACCCCCAACCTTCGGATGGACCTTTTTTCCTTTTCAAATTGAATTGGATTGTAAAAGTCCGACGCTCTGACCAATTGAGCTACCCGGGCCTGCTTCAAAGTCGCCGTTATTGCAATACACAAGGCTTATTCGCGCTTGCTGGCTTATGACTCCAGCTGCGCCGGTCCATTAGGCCCGGCTTTTTTGCAACACTTGGAAGTGGCTAGTTTACATTAATTGTTTTTACCTACCTACTTACTTGGTGCATTTACATAGTAGGATTGGGACATGGGGAGAAGAAAAAGAAAAGAAAAGAAAGGTAGATACTTGATTTGTGCATGGTATGGAGGTAGATAGGTCATTACTTAATTGGGAATGTCCTGTTTTGCTGCAAGGTCTAGGTAGCTATGTAATGCAGTTGTGTGCAGTGTGGTAGGCGTGAAAGCGGAAAGGAGAGGATGCGGGAAGAGGTTATTTTATCTACTTAGTCAGAGCTAGTGCGTCTTTAGGGGAATGGTTGATTTGGTGAGTTTTTGTGTCTGGTAAGCGGAACAAGATCACAATAAGGAATTTAACGATACTTGGAATCTTGAGCCTGTTGTTATTGATGAGGGTAGGTATTGATAGCTGATAATACTTAAATAGTTATTGTTATAAGATTCATCATTTAAAGACAGCCTAAGTTTACGGTTTATTCAAAAAGGGCATTATCAAGAGGGCATTGCCAGAAAGAAAGAAAGGCAAACTCAGGTTGAACTTAAAAGGGAAATGAGTAAAGTTGTTTGTAAACTGCAGATTTATTTTACTAAACTTATGTAGTTATCGTGGAGCTGGAATGATTGCAAGTGGAGGCAGGTAGGTAGTTATTGTTCTTCTTTAATTAGCACTGACTATGAAATAACTCGCATTAAAACACTTACACTAAGAAACCCTTTTCCTTCTCTTTCTTTTTTTTCTCCCTTTTTTTTGTAGTTGCACGGTATTTTCTTGTCCCCTTATATTTTCAAAATCTCCTGGTGTCATGTGCCTTAGGCGAGGAGGGTTATCAACGTCACAAATAATGAACAACGCTTCACCCGCCTTTCTCCCTGCCTAACCCTACTTAACCTCCATACACCCAAGTCCAACTGCCGTCATGATATGCATCCACCACCCCTCTCGGTCGATTTCATCCGTACACATTCGCCTGACACTTACAGCCGCACGCCGGGGACCCGCAGATGCGGTCCCAGCCGATGGCGAACTTGCAGAACAGGAAGACCAGTATCAGCCTGGCGGCGATGTCCAGGTTCCCTTCCACGATCAGCATCAGGCCGGCAAAGCACAGCCCGTAAGCTAGGATCAGCGGGACCAGGTGGCGTATCAGCTGCACAAGGCACCACACGGCCGTGAAGACGGGCTGGGCTATGGCGGCTGGTAGGGCGGGGATGTACATGGCTGGAGAAGAACTCATTTTTGGGGGGGTTTTTCTTTTCCTTTCCTTTGTCTGTAGGTCGGCTAGCTTGGCTTGTGTGGAGGTTTCCTTGGCAAGGGGGGTTATGCTGTTGTTTTTCTCTTGTTGTTTTAGTGCGTGGATAAGTAGATAGATAGGTATGTTTTTATTTATTCTTGAAGTTGGTAGTGTGTCTCTGAGAGAGGTGGATGAATGGTTTAGTATGGTTGGGCTGGGCTGAAGACGTGCCTCCCTTTTTATACACCAGTGGTGAGCAGCCGCAAGGCAGGCGTCGTTCAGAAACAGTGGCCGCGGTTCTTAAACGGGCTATATGTTGTTATGAGTGAGCGAGTATTCTTGTTTCTTCGGGTAGACCCCGCCTGTTTAAATACTCGCCCTTTGTTTGAGTAACAACCTTCTTATCGTTTGGGGAAACGCGTATCTCAACAAAGGCATTCGAAATCGAAAGCCGGGCGCGGTGGCTTTTCTTGATTTCAAAGAGAGAGCAACTGACGGGGAAGCAACTGAGGTGTTGGTAGAGCGTGCTTATATTGTATAGGCACCATGGTCTGGAAAAGTTAGGACTTGAATGGCTCTCCTGGAATATGTATAGGTGATATATTTTATATAGATAACCAAGGGCCTCTTTATTGTGGCATTTTCGTGTCATTGATATTAGAGTAATATATGCTTTAAAGGTAGATGATGTCGTGATGGTATAGGGGAAATATCCTCTTCGAGAATCGTAATCAATGATACTACAGCATAAAAATGAACGCTCAAAAACAAACAATATGAGTTTCATAATTTAAACTTCAGTCTGTCGATTTAGTAGTCTCATACAAGTCCCCTGCAGCCGGACTCTTATTAAACCCGCAGCGTCGAGGTACTGTCTGTCACGGTATTATCATTCGAAGAGTGAAATATTACTATGTCGTAGGTGCTGTGTATAATTCAGGAAGATCCCTTCTATAGGGCTGAATGACAAGGGTTCACTGGCGGGCCGCAACTGACAGCTGACCATCGCCACTCTAGTTGATTTGTAGATTCCCGTTTACCATAGGGATGCTATTCCCGGGCCTTACAACCTCCAGCACCCCCAAGAGGCCTCGATATCAAATACGCGATAAATGTATACAAGATGGCAATCATACCTGTCCTCAATCATGCCATAGTACTTGTTCCTTACGAGTTTCTCGAGAACCCCCCACTATCGGCCCGGGAGGTCTTTCACCTAACGCCTGCCGGTCGGCAAAGCGACGATGAACAGACTCGAAGCCTGCGCGCACACTTCAAGGACGGGACATATCTGGAATTCATCGCCTTCCTGCCGGACACGGACCCAGAAGCGCGAAGCAAGCACCGGTACGGCGAATGCGAGGAGGGCACCGTGGTCGACTGGGCCATCCGCTTCGTCTCCGACGTTCCGGGGCGCAGCGACGCGAACTGGCGGGACATGTTCGACGCGATGCAGCTGCGCGTGCGCGACTCCGGGACCGGCGTCATCTACACGCAGCCCGAAGATGCGGGGCGCGACATGGTCGTCGCGTTCTCCGCGCACGGCGGACATCTCGAGTGGAGGCGCGAGCTCGACATGGTCCCCGGCGAGGTCCCCTACTGGGTGCTGCTGCGCTCGGACGCTCGCCCCACGGCCGCCGCCGACGAACAGCACCCTTCGCGGGCCGCGGGCCTGGCCGCCGTGGAAGTGCGCATCCGCGCCGCCCCGGAGCGGGTCCGCAGCGAGCACCGCCTCGGCCTGCTGTGGGAGACCTTCCAGACGCTGTTCGGCCGCGAGCCGGTCGACGTCGTCGATGAGGGAAGGCAGATCGACACGTGGGAGTGGCCTGTTGGCGCGCCTGGTGAGGCGGACCACGAACCCGTGCAGCGGCTGGTACGGCTTGCGAGTCCAAGGGATATGGCGAGGAATGTCGAGGTTAGCGTGGATCTGTTTAAGGAGCGGGGCGAGGTTGTGCGTCTCGAGCTGGATGGCGAGAGGCCCTCCTTCGAGATGAGACTCGGTCCTCGTCCCCCGCTTGTGAACTACCGGCAGAACTATCACTGGGAATGGATGAGATGATGATCGGTATCTGCAATGGAATGGAGAAATATCCTGCACACTATTCTGTCTATATTCTTTGAAAACATTGAGGCGAGTTAGAGGTAGGTATATCACGGGTTACATATCCTGAGATAAGAAAACCATGATTATTTTCTAGCAGAAGCCTCGGGTTTAGGTCCCCTCGTGCTCGCGCTTCTCCCCCCCTCCTCCCCCCCTTTGCTTTATACGTTTGTACTACGAAATGACTTGAAAGCAGGGTCACTGATGCCTATATTGTCTTAGCGATGCACTTACCCGGGATATGGGAAGTGAAAGGATGCCGAGATACTATAAATCCAGATCCACTTCCATATATATCATGATGTGTTCTATATTACCCATTGCTTAGTGAGACAAGAACCCGAGGCCTTGGGCGGGGTTATGCACGAGTTACTGCATATACTCTTTCCTGCTCTCCCCTGACACTCCGTATTGTTGTGCTGCATGATCCCATCATCCATAGCAGGTAGCAATGGAGACCTTGGGGGCCTCAGGCAGACCCAAGTTCGTACCCGCAGAGTCTATTTTTGCTTGAATCATGCAACAACACCACAAATCGACACCCTGCCCCTCTTTTCGCCCCCATCGCTTCAACATCCCGTACCGATTTGTTTATTCCTTGGTCGTAAGCCCTAATATACGGATCACTTGTCGAATATCATATTATCGTATAAGGCAGGTATTAATTGCTACCTACTAGTATTTCTTTTTTCCATCCTACCAATTTCAAAATAAAAAGCACTTCCTTTCCTCATTGTTCTCATATCTATATTCTCCCCATGGGCTCTTTGGGGCCGTTGAGCCATCCCCTGAAGAGCAATCAAAACAAAAAGGTGCCGAGAGATCTTATAATTCACACCAGTTAAGATTCTTCGCTTCTTCGACAGCAAGAACATGAAGATGGTTATCAGCCAACCTGAGACCACGGGGACCTAGGTCTGAGCTGCCTCAAATCTCCCGATACATTGAGACTTGTAGGTATGAGAACATACTACATCCCTTTCACTTATACGACCCCGAGATCCATCCCAAAGGCCTAGTCTGATTAGACCTTTAGTTCAACCGATTTGTAGCTGGAATATGGCTGGAATTACTGGTTAGTGAGTTGAAATATATCATAACCTCTTGTTTTACTCCCCTCTTACTCTGTCCTGCTTATTCTCTTCTGAACACATCATGGTTGTACTTGGTTGTAAGAGAGGTGTTCCAAATGGCATATGCAACAGGTAATGATGGTCTATTGTACAAAAGGCGAATCCTGATTCTCATGATCCTGCCAACTTACATGAATTTCCGGCTGGCTACCTAGTAGATTCTAGGGATGGGCTGACATAAAGCCAATAATGAATGGTCTACAAGTTCTTGGTTGGCATTTAAATGCCAACCTTAGGTGGGAAGGGCTTTGGGATGGGTTATGGATGTATGTGAAATGCATCTAAAGGACAAGAAGAAGGTGAGCAGGGGACTATGAATTCGATGTCATTGAAGCCAGTGTTGTGCAGATATATCAGGTGGCTTCTGGAAATTCATGGCGTTGCTGTTTGTTTTCACACCAACACAACTTCGAGACTTCTGGACTG